TAATACTTTCAACAATAAAGATTTTTTTAAAAAGGATGACATTTCTTTCAACAATAAAGATAAATTAAAAAAATAAATAGTCCCTGGCTGGTTTGGCTCTGTGGATAGAGCGTCCATTGGCCTGCGGACTGAAGGGTCCCAGGTTCCATTCTGGTCAAGGGTGCTTGCCTGGGTTTCGGGCTCAATCTCCAGTAGGGGTCCTGCAGGAGGCAGACGATCAGTGATTCTCTCTCATCATTGATGTTTCTCTCTCTCCCTCTCCCTTCCTCTCTGAAATCAATAAAAATATATTTTAAAAAAATAAATAAAAAGGATGACACATGTCAACTGTGCCAGAAGACATGGGGGAGGGGGGTGGAGAGGCAGCCCTGTGTTGATTGGCTGGGCCAGTGTCTTGGACATGCCACCCCTGTGGGTTCTAAGAAAGGTTGGTGAGAGGGGTGGCTAGCAGAGCTGCAGACAGCTGTGGCAATGGGAATGCAGAGGACTGGGACAGTGAACGGAGCTCCCTGGCCCCGGAGGAGTGGACATGAACGCAGGATGGACAAAGGGGTTAAAACAAGAAACATTAAGACAGTCATGTGGGCTCTGTTGTCTCTTGAATGGGGTGAGTTGGGGAAGAAGACATATATTTGATTCCTCCCTCTTCCTTTTTTAAAAAGAAGCTAGGGCTTCTTCTTCTTCTTCTTTTTATTGTTTGAAGTATTACATGTCTCCTCCCCCCACTCCCACCCCTGAGGGCAAGCCCTCCCTCTTCTTTCTAAGTACCTGTGGGGTTCCGCAGAGGGGTCTTTAAGGAGAAGAGGGAAGATAGGAGTGGGGAGTTATTGTTCAAAGTATCATTTCCAAGGGCCCCCGCCAATAGAGCTCTCAGAACTAGAAATAGGATTTCAGCCTCTGTGCGGCAGCTGGCAGCGGGGAGTCCAGGGGAGGGCGAGAGAGAGAGAACCCCGAGGGAGGGGTAGTCTCTAGGGATGACCTCAGGCCAGGGACAGGGGAGCCTGTGCCGCATTGAAGGCAGGACGATGTCAGGGAGGCGCAGCTGGGCCTGGGCTGGCGGCCCTCTTCCACAATCTACCGTGTTCATCAGCACCCTCAGGCGCAGGGCACTGTTCGGGCATTGCCCAGAGATAGGACACCCGGCCCAAACCAGCGCAGGAAGGCGAAAGTGACCGCCGGGCCGGAGGAGGCCGAGGCCACAGTCCCTCGGCGCGGTGGTCCCTGCCGCGGGTGTGGGTGTGGGCTGCAGAGGAGGCGGAAGGGCTAAGGCGTGGTGG